GTATATAGGGATTTTAAGGATTTAAGTGCTTATATGAAGCTTATGGAACAAGATCGCTTGGAAATACTTGTAGTTTTTTTTTTTTTTTTTTTTTTAGTTTGTAAATTTTTATTTTTGTTTTTATGGTATGCTTTTTATAGATGAAGTGTCTCCATGTAAACTTTATTCAAAGTGTGTAGCTACTACTGTTTTAGTCACCGCGACGGTGGCAATGAAGGCAGTGTTTTGCTCTGTGTATTTAAGATGAGGTGACCTTCTCGATCCACAGGCCTCGTGACTGTTTTATGCAATAGAAATGGACTAGCTAGCTACGATATATGTGTGTGTGAGCGGTGGTGCTCTTGTTGTACACAATGGACAAAAAAACACTAAAAGGCAATAAAGATGACTATTGAAAAAAAATCTCTAAAGCAAACCAAAGCCTCTAAATTCTTGTAGCTAGTCTGTCTATTGTTAAGTTGTTCCTTAAGTCCCTCTAAAATCACCATCTCTTAACCTCTCATCGCTGTCTCTTACGGTGCCTCTTTGCTTACTCGTAGTCTCTAGGTGCTCTTCTAATACTCCCGACGAATCAAACCATAATCAATAATCAGTTAATCACGACTTGTTAATCATCCAGATTTGTACGCCTGCTGCTAAACGATAGTAAGTCTTCTTCTGAGGCCCGAACACTTCTTCTTTGGACATAAAGGTCACTCTCTCACCCACATGAAACCATGCTGTCTCCCTCTCTGTCCATGGTTTCGCTGTCTGTCTGTGCTAGACGTAGCCCAGCTAGCATGAGTAGTGTCACTATAGCAGCGGTCGCACGGCGGGAGGGGCGTCTCTCTTCCAAGCCGGCCCCGCGAGCACCTCCATGAGCCCACGTGAGCATCGCTAACCGGCCATTCCTTACGTCAACACCCGGCGGTTGATGTGAGCCCTTGCGAATGGTTATGCCGAGCTCATGAAGGTGTCGTGCGGCTCCTGTGTGATTCCCCTCACGCTGTGCGACTGCAGTAGATCTGCCTTGTTGTCATCCCGACGCCACTAGCTGACACTAATCTCTCTTCTATCTTTTTTTCTTTTTATGTCCCCTTTTATGTGCCCTTTTTGTTTCCTTTCCACGTCTGTCCGTCTCTGTCCGTCTAACTCTAGCTGCCACGGCAACTAACCCATGACCCCTTGACCTTCTGACCTTTCCGCCCACTGATGACCCACCCATCTCTGCCCGCTGGCGTGCTCATTGGCCCACGGCCCCGCCACTCCCCCAGCTCAGCCAACCAGAGACCAGAACATTGGGAACAACCCCGGCTGCTTCTGTCTAACCAACCAACCAGACGACAGCGATCGTGGGAATAAACCTCAGGACCCCGCCCGTCAACCGAGTCCTAACCTAAACTTTACCAAACGTGCCTTCCTTTTTTCCAAAAAAAGTCCAAAGCCAGTCTCTGAGAATCTCCTCTTAAACATCTCAAAATTTACAATCTGTACCAGCTGCACAACCAGTACACTTTACTGGGGACGGGCCCCCCACGCCGGTGAGCCGGGCTGAGCCGAACCGTCTCTCTGAGCTGCCACGCCCTCCGATGCAATAACAGCGACTCTATTAATAACTACACTGATAATGGTACTTATCCAGCCTCCATAAACACTAAAACTGAAAAGAGACGTGTTGATATTTGGACGTGCTTCTCCTCAGCGAGCACCTCTCGTGTCCTTTCCTGCTTCTTTTAATTCCTGTGTAACATTAACACGCGAGTCCTTCGAAACGCGGCTCCAAAGACGTGTTTAAAACGCACCTCTCGTGTTGAAGAGTTTAAACCGGAGAGGTGCTCGGCGAGGAAAAGCCATCGGTGTTTCTCGACAGGTGAAGAGTCGACATAAACGGTGCAGTCCAGATGCACAGAGGGAAGAGGTTGCACTTTTTATGTCGACATCTAGAAGACTTACACAACAATGCCTTTTCCTTTTTTTTTTTTTCCACACTAAACACTATTGTATGAGCTTGAACAACAGTGCCTTTATTTATTGACAGCGATGGAACGATGTCACACCTAAATCTTTTTACTACGACGTCGTTGGCTTTTGTGCCCGGCTTTGAAATTATCATCATTTTGCTGATTAATTAGGACTAAATATCTACACTTTTTACATCCATAAACTCAATTCAGATTTCAGTGCCAAAAAAAAAGAGAAAAAAAACAAGTGGCTCATTTGAATTGGAAGTGCAATGCAGTACCGAGGCTCACGCGAGGTTTGGACGCCTCGAAAGAACAGTGTTATATTTTATTTTCTTGTTGTTGTTGTTGTTGTTGTTTTTGTTTGTTTGGTTGATTGTGCTGCTGGAGATGAAGTCGTCCATATATTTTTTTTTTTTGCATGTGTTCTCTGCTATTTTCCGAGGGTGTGGTACAGTTTTACACACAAACAAACACACACATGAACCAAGTGATGCCTTCAGATTAAAAAAAACCCTGCAGACGTAACATCTGTAACAAGTTTATAATGTATTTTTATATTCTATTTTGTACGTGAAAATAACATTAAATGACCTTTTCAGATGAGAACATTATGCCTTATTACGGAGAGTAATCTGACGGCTGTCCTTTACGTCCTGGTGAACTGGAGTCTAAACCGATGTTCCTCTGTATTAACTTGAGCCTTCTGAGATCAGCGTTTGCTTGCCTCCTGTGCCTTTTGTAAACTACGAGTGTGACGATTAACAGTGTAGTACATTAATCTACTCTTCAGCGTAGGTTACTAACTGTTACCACTTCTTCTGTGATTATTAACCACTTTAATGGTATCTGTCTCTGCTTTTGGATTCCTTTTAAAAAACATACATGTGTGTCTAAAAAAAAAAGAAAAAAGTAAGAAAAATATATGTGTTGAACGGTGATCTTTTAACTTTTAAAGTATTCTGAGCAGGAATAACTCTTTGTAAACTATTAAACTCATAGTTGTAAAAACTAACAAACTTTGTTGCTTTTTCTCTGTAGCACTTAATTATGCAAATCAGCTTCCTTTCTGCATACTAATCACCAAACACTCCTTAGACACAGAAGAGGGAGGAAGAGGGGGAGAGAAAAAAAAAAAAAAAGAGAGCGGATACTTCAGACTAAATGCAGGGAAAAGGCCACAACATGTTTTTCCCACTTCTCCTTTTTTTTTTTTTTTTCTGTGTTCTTTCTCTTGTTCTCTGTCTTCCTCTCTGCTATTTAAGTGGACACTGCACACATCCATGTGTGTAATAGGAGAGAAGAAAACACCCAGCTCACCATGGTTTCTCACAGGCATGCACATGTATAACAGAAAAAAAAAAAAACAGAGGGGGAGTTTCAGGTTGGGAGATGGCCGGGGAATTGAAGGGAAATTGATTGTGCAAGCTCGCCCTCAAACATCTGCAGAGTAAATATTACACAGGATCACAGTTTGTCCCTGAAGTCTGAGTGGGAAAGAAAAAAAACACAGCACAAAAAAAAAAAAGAAGAATAACCCACATGGTAGCGACATGTGTTTTAAAATGTATGCAGATAGTTTGACACCTTAAGTTTAAAAGCACAAAGTTTCACAAGAAGAAGAAAAAAAAAGGGAAGAAAATCACATGGGGCTCTGTGCGGCTGAATGCAGCAGTGGGTGGCTCATTCGTCCTCTCCCTGCCCTTCCTGCTTTCATTGTGGAGTCGGGGGGTGATATTGAACTTCAGGCTTGGAGTTGAGCCCTGCTCTGCGGCCGCAACCCCAGCCCCCTGATCACAGGGAGAGAAAAGGACATAATGTGAACGCCGCTGACAATCCTCTGGACAGGAAGGAGCAGAGTGGAAGCACTGAGTGGAGATAGCAAAAAGAAAAAAGAAAAAGAAAAGGGGAGCGAGTATAAAAGACCAGAATGTGTGTGTGTGTGGAGTTGGGTGGGGGTGCATGGGTGTGTTACTCTTGTCTTCGTTTTTTCCTGTTTTCAGTCAAAGTTTTTTTTTTTTTTTTTGTGCTTCTCCCCAGTCTGGTATGAAACACTCTTAAAGCATCTGGTAATGTATTCTGCAGTCAGCTCTCGCCCCATTGCCAACACTGGGGCCCAGGGCTCCCACAGCTTACAATCAAAGTGTGTGAAATGTGAGAGAAAAGTGGAGAAAAAAAAAAAAGACTGCAAGTTGATTTACATTGCTGTGTGTGCTCGGCGTTCTCCACATAATGAAGCCGCTCCAGATCTCCTCTGCTCGGTAAATATTTGATAACCGACTGATTTTAGTCCTATAAGCTGCTCAAAAGTTGTATTTCAAACCCCTCTCTCTCTCTCTCTCTCTCTCTCTCTCTTGTCCTCTTCCCATGTAAATAAGGCCAACTCCCCCTAACTCCACACACCCCTCTGAGGCAGTTTAAAGACCCAACACTGTCTCCTTGTCTCCTTGACAACCAGCATACACTGGGGTCCTGTCGTGGCCTCTCTTGTCTTTTGTGTTTGGGAGCTCAGAGAAAGAAAAGCGAGAGAGAGAGACGAGAGAGAGAGAGAGAGAGGAAGGGGAAGACGAAAACAAGAGTTGCTGAAAAAGACAACAAAGATGACATCACTGCTATTTTATCCCACAAAATTTGGTTGGCGATGATGATGATGATGGGGATGATGATGATGATGGGGATGATGATGGTGATGATGATTAGCCAGAGGCACAAAATGGGTGGCAGCTCGGTGTGAGAGAGAGCGACCAGAGAGGGAGGCAGAGAGGGAAGAGAGAGAGGCCCGGGGCTGAATGGGGCATTGTGGGAAAGACAGTGGGCACACTGGGCAGTAACACAGAGAACACTAACTCACAGATCATGCCAGAGAGTCTGAAAACACCCACACTGGGCGACAATGGCAAACTTCATCGCTCCACTTGGCCCCTTCTGAATACACACATACAATGGCAGAATCCAAATAAGATGCTCTGTTATTCGCGAAATTCAACACACTAAATTCCTTCAGTGCCTCCGTCCCTTTGACCGGCAGCAGATGGCCGGGGCCGAGCCGGGCCGAGCCGTGGACGTGCGCGTACGTGTGCGCGCGTGTGGTCCGGTGTCGAGGTTGCATCACGGGTAAGAGCCCTGGGAAGGTGGGAAAAGGCGCATTTAAAGGCCTGACGGATGTCATATGGAAGCTATTTGACTCACATCTGCTTCAAGCACACGTTCAACTCGTATCTGTCGAACAAACTGGACTGAATCAGTTAATTAAATCAGGCCTGGTTAGAGAGAAGACCAAGGAGGACCAGAACCAACAGGTTTGACCCTGGACAGCAGGTTTCCTCTTTACTTTGGCTCTCTGCTGCCTCCCAGTGTCACGTGGCAGGAACTCCACCTCCCTGAAGGATAGAAGGGCGTTTATTAGCAGAACTGTAGAGAATATTTTAATTATGTGTTCCTTCGTCACTGAGGAATGATCAGACACTGAGGCTTAGTGTCTAATCATCTGAAAATGTACGTCTTAATGAATTATAATGAGTCTTTACCGCCTACAGAGGGAGCGTTGGGCCTCGTTCTCAGACCCCAGCTGGTAGAAATACAGATATTTGTTCCTTGTAAACACGTCCACATGGTGTTCTTCATATTGTAGAAGACACATCATGACAGACACAAGCAGTCAACCTCACAGCTGAGTGTTTCCTCCCTTGGAGCTGCGGCATACACTGTAAAAAATGTACTTTTTAAAAACAGTTTGTGACTGTAATTTTTATTTTATTTTTTAAATTTTACTGTGATTTTTAAAGAAAACTGTCAATAACGTTCAAATCAAAAAAATCTGCATTTTTAGAAATTGTGATTCATTCTTAAAAATACTGACTTGACTAGAATTGTGCTTTTAAAAAAAATTATTGGAATTAGCAAAAATCAGCAAAAATATGATTTTTTTTGCAGATATTTGAGGTTATTTGAAATAAAATCAATGTATATTAAGGATTGAATAATAGTACATACTTTAAATCATTATTTGTTTTGTCAAATTACAAATAATATCTAGTAAAAACACAGAAAAACCACAAGTTTACATGTTGACGTAAAAAAAAAATCTGTATTTTATAAATGGTAATTAATATTTTTTTTTACAACATTTATTCTAAAATTACACCATTTTCACCCTGTTTAAATCAGCAAAACATATAATTATTTTGAACATATATTTGCAGTTATTTGAAACTGATTGCTTTTTTGATTGCAAAAAAGACTCAAATTCTAAATAATTTCCACACAGAATAATTAATGGGTTTTTTTTTTGTTTTGTTGTCTTTTTTCTATTTACAAATTTACATGTTTTTTTTTTGTTTGTTTTTTTTACAGTGTGAGTTTCACAATTTGACTGTATTTAGATGCTATTGTCTGATTCTATGACAGGTTTTTATAGTTTGTCGGGTTGCTTTCAATAACAAACCAAACACAGCCTGTAGAAGGGCTTTCCTCATTTCTCACATTCTCCGCTGCTCTCCTGCACACTTGGAAGGTGAATGTGAAGCGACGGTTATTCAGCTGGTAGGAATCTGCAGCCTTCCTGTGAGATGCCTCCAAATCACTCTGGTCCTTCAAGAACGATTCGTTACAAGCAGAACCAGTTTTCTGCTCCAAAAAATGTCAAACATTTGCCTGCTTTTGTTTTTCTGTTTTAAAGGGATGTGCTCACCAACAGTTCTGAGTTATCAAGAGAATATTTCACAATAATCCAACAAGAGATGTGTTAAATCTCTGTTTATCCCGCATGGCCGCAGGCTAAAGAGATCGATTCCAAATGAATTAATAAAACATGGATGTAAAATTCAGTTACAGCAGAAACTTCTGCTTCTTCTGACACTGATGCTGTTTTCATGTTCCTACGTTCTGATGTGTAATAATGACAAAAGTCTGTTGTGCTGCATCTTTATACGTTTAAATGTTACAGTTTTTGTTTATTGAAGTTATTTTTTCCCATTACTTAAGTGTTTCCATTTTATGTTTTCTATATTTTTTCTTTTATAATTTTTTTTGTCATTTTTTCTGTGTTATCGTTGCTTTTTAAAGTTTGTTGTTGATTTTGCACATCCCCACACTTTGTGCTTTTCTGCACAATCCCACAAACAGTTTGTACATTCCTGCTTCAAATCTGTCTCTCTTGAATATTATTGTAAATATGACATATATTTTTTACTTTCTCACTTTATTATAGCATTGATTGCTATAATGCAACATTTGCATTTACTGTTATGCAGCGAAACAATGAGTCAAATTCTTGTCTGTAGAAAACCTAATTGGCAATAAAACAGATTCTGATTCTTGTTACTCTGCCTTTGAGGTGCTTTTTTTTTTTGTCATATGCTATTGCAGGTCACATCATTCATGCATTTAAGTTTAGAAAAGGTGATATTCTCCAAAAATGTGCAACTTATGAACGTTTGTCTGCCACCATTTACGTTCTATTACTAATAATTATTGAATATTGTTACTTTATCTTGAGTAAAACTCTTCCATCTATATTATATAAATATATTGTCGACCAGTATATCATCGTTTAACTGCACTTAACAGCTGGTTTCTCTGCCTGCAGTCACTTCTGTTTACTCTCCAGTTAAACAGACAGATCCCAGATCAGCGTAACTGTCGTAAAAACATGGGTGTCACTGACGATGTTAGAAAGTTTTCTCACTTTAATTAACGGTTATAAATGCGCTTTAATTCATAAATCATGAGATTAAAATTGGGGCAATGCCAGTAATGTGTTTATTTTTCATATTTTACGGTTTGTGTTGTGACGTAACGACAATGCAACACCGGTTGTCGCTTTACGGCAGAGCGTGTTGCTGGAGGTCAGGGGCATGACGAGAAGACGGACCGGGTAAAGTGTAAGGAAAAAACGTATTTTCGACTTGAAAATCCACCGAGACTATAAAATACGCTCCGTCGGGACGTGTGCTGTCGGTGGCGGAGGATCCAGCCGCTCGTCGTCCGATCGTTCGTCTTCTGTTTTGACTGTCGCGACACTTAGCTAGCGCTGCTAACGTTAGCTCGGCTAGCAGCGCCCCTCCAGCCTCCAGTTTGACCCTTCGGATCTCTCGCAGCGATGGACAGCAACTCACAGGGGTCGGGGGGAGTTAAAGGAGGACTCGGGGGTCTTTTTGGAGGCGGTGCGCCTGAATACTCCAACACGGAGCTCGCCGGTGTCCCACGTAAGTGTCACGTAATCTCACTGCGATGCTAGCTGCTGCTGTCACATTGCCTCAGTTAGCTTAATGCTAAAGCTAACCTCATCAACAGCTGCTCTGCTGTTCGTGACCTTTAAGCATCTGTAAAATGGAATATTTCAGTCTCAAACATTTGTGTTGTCCTTCCATTTCAGTGACTGGGATGAGTCCTCTGTCTCCGTACCTCAACGTCGACCCTCGTTACCTGACCCAGGTGAGCTCATGTTGAATCTGAGCAGCTTTCTTACAAATAAATGACAAGTTTCTTGTATTTTTCTGCCTCCTAACAGTTTGAATGTTTTGTTTCAGGACACAGATGAGTTCATTCTACCCACAGGGGCCAATAAAACCAGAGGAAGGTTTGAGCTGGCTTTCTTCACCATCGGAGGCTCCTGTATGACCGGTAAGGACCACCTGGACACGGCACACAGCCTCCTGAAAGTACACCTAAAACAGTAGAGACAGTGGTGAGCATGACTGCATCATAGCTTTACTACAGATGCTACAGGTACAGAGTGATTATTAGTGTGTGGACACCTGAGTTTTGAGTGCATCTTCGTCTACATTCTTTTCAACTTGTGACCTTGTCCTGAAGTTTGGACGACTATAGCTAGAAAGCTGATCGCAATGCTTTGTTTCATTCAGTAGTTATTGATAGTTCTAAATGACCTGTTAACAAAACAGCAGAAAAAAGGTTTATTGTGGTTTTGATCACATGAACCTGTTTGTCAAGGCTACAAACGTTTGGTTATAGTTTTAATAATAACAATGACACAAATATAACAGACATGAATACAGTACATCCATCCATCCATCTTCTCCCGCTTATCCGGGGTTGGGTCGCGGAGGCAGCAGCCTGAGCAGAGCCGCCCAGGCTTCCCGATCCACAATCTGAACACAGTGCATTTACCAGATAAATACAAATGCATGAGGATAAATGAATAATCCTTCCTTGATACACATTAAATAAAGACATCCTGTAAAACCTGGAGGTGCCCAGAGGACGACATTGGTTCTTATTGTTATTGATCAAGTGTCTGTCGCCGTTGCTATCTGGGCGGTAAACCATATAAATATATAAAACATGTTGATGCTGCAGCGTACGTTGATATATAAATCATATAAAGCAGTTGTGAGAAAGCCGTTTTATTTTGTCATAAATCAGTTTACCTCATGTTCACCAAGAAAACAAATAAAAGCAAAGACAAGCAACAGGAAATCAGTGTATAAAGTGTTGTAAAAGTGTGATAAAGTATTACGCACTAAACTTTATTAGCAAAGTCGTTTCCATACTGAATTTTCCCCCCAGCAGGGTTTGGAAGAACCTGATCGACCTGAACCCAATTTCACAACTTTGAAGTGAACTGACTATGAATCAAACTTTTTGCCCAGCATCCCTCTCTTCTCTGTCCTCTCTGAATCTTTTTTGGCTAAATGGGAGAAAATCCCTGCAGCCGACTTCCAAAACCTTCACAGAGAAGTTGAGGCTGTTGCAGCAGCAGTCACTCCCACGATTCGTGTGTCCGTGTACGTTTTGGCACACTACTGACAGTTAACTAACTTCCTGCTTCACTCAGCTGCTCTGCATCTTTGCTTTGACTGCAGGAGCTGCTCTCGGAGCCGTAAACGGCCTCAGGATGGGCCTGAAGGAGACCAGCGACATGGCCTGGTCCAAACCACGTAACGTACAGTGAGTATGCAGCTCAGCCCTCCAAGTAGTTTGACAGGTAGAAGTATATTTGGATCCCTCCTTCTCTGAATGTTTGCTTTCTTTCTGCAGGATTCTCAACATGGTGACCAGGCAGGGGGCTTCTTGGGCCAACTCCCTGGGCTCTGTTGGTAAGACTATCATATAGCTGTACAAATATTAGCTCATCCTGCAGTGGAAAGCCATCACATGAAGTGTTTTTATGGATTTTGGTGTCCCGCTTTAACATCAGCCTCTTATGAAACGTTGGTGCATTGTCTCTGATGTCGCTGCAGCCTTGTTGTACAGCGCCTTCGGTGTGGCGATAGAGAAGGCCAGAGGAGCTGAAGACGACATCAACACGGTGGCGGCTGGGACGCTAACGGGGATGCTCTTTAAATCTGGCAGTACGTGTCTGTACATGTGATATTAACGTGGTGTTGACTGTCTAGGTGTCGTTTAGTAACGAAGCATAACGACTAGATTTCATAATCCTCATTTCATTCTTGTTGAAATATTCACAACTTCTCATCTAAAAGAATTATCGCTTAAATCTCACATTGTCACATCTTGAATATTACAATTTTTTTTATTATTCTGGGCTTCAGCTAAGAGTTATGTCCATTAATAATCTGTTCAGTGTTTTTGGATTTCTTTGATAACAGTTTATGAGAGAATGAAAGTAAAAATGTCAAAGATATTGACTTTGCGGTGACGTAAAGTCGAGAAAAGCAGCAAATTCTCCCTGTTGAGATTCTGAAGCTGTCCAGTGATTATTTTTTTGCAGGACTAATTTCCCCAGCTGTTCATCTTGTCTTGTGTAAATGTGTTTGGTTTGTGGATACTGACGCCAAACAGATGATTTTTTTTTGTGTCTGTATCAGCGTGTGGAGCACTACCCATCCACACTTTGGCTAAATTAAAAGTGATTATTGTCATTTAATTCTGATTGTGGTGCTTTGTTCTTGACTCCTTCTGTTTCCGTCCTTAGGTGGACTGAAGGGTGTCGCTCGTGGAGGTCTGGCCGGTTTAGCCTTGTCTGCTGCCTACGCTCTCTACAACAACTGGGACCACCTGACCGGATCCTCCTCCTCCTCATCAAGGCTGTACTAAACCCTCCCACGCAGCCGCTTCGACATTAGGGCCAAATATCTGGAGGACACAGCCTTTAACCACAGCGCTACGAGGAGTTAGACTCTGGTCAAATGCAGTGTGCTTTACATGGACGGGCGAGCCGGTCCCGGTCCGCTGGTTCTCCCCTCCACAGCCGCTCTCTGGGAGCCTTCTGGGAGCAAAGAGATGCTTCTGAAAACATATTACTTGTGAAAATACGGACTAAATTCCCCTGGAAATCCACACCGTCCTCTGACACCTCTCCCTTTGTTTGTCTTGACCCTCTGAGGCGTTCCCGTCACTGATCTGATCAGTCATGAGAACACAGCGGGAGGACGTCGCAGAGGTTTGTAATGTGAATGTTTTTGGGAGACTTTTGATGCCACATTTGAGAACAGTGAACCTACAAAAGGAGCCAGTTTGTCAGATGACGTCTTGGTTGTGTGTTTCACCGGATGCATTCTGATTTTTGGACTGAGAGACTCTTCTGTAATCGCAGAGCAACACAGAACGAAGCCTTCCGCTCGGTTCTGCTCCTGTATTTATTGAAGCGTATCTGCAGTGGGTTTCAGTGTAAAGCTGTGCTGGACGTCCGTGTTGTCTGTGTGTCTCCATCAAACCTGCTGTATGAATAAACCTGGAAACATTCACAAAAGGTTTTTTGCTTTTCACCGATTTTTATTGCGCCGTGTAGATTTAATGCAAAAAGTGGTGAATGGGGCAGTGAGTCAGACACCGTCTGGTAGAAAACGAGTGCACATTCAGAACCAGTGTTTACATCGCAGAGTGGTTGTTGCAGAACTGGTGAAGATGTCGGTGGAACAGGAACGAACTGTAGCCGTGAGACCCGTAGAGGAAACTTAGACGCCGAACAGAGCTTATGCTTGCTGAGGCGGGCGGCCCGCTTAGTGCAGGAAGAAGTCCCTGATGCGCGTCGCCTCGATCCAGGGGATGTAGGCGGCGGTGCGGGTGAAGACGCTGGGCTTGTTCTCCACGGTGCAGCCGATGGGGCCGAAGCTCACCACGCCGTGCACCTCCCAGCGGTCCCGACCCAGCTGGCACAGCAGAGGCCCGCCAGAGTCGCCCTGGAGGAGGACGGAGGACGGAGACGGGTTAGAACTTCACCTGACGGACACTTTATTTAAATCCGATGCGGTCACTTTCTAGTCGTACCTGGCATGCGGCGGGCGGGCCCTCGGTGTCTCTGAACCCGGCGCAGATCATAGAGTCCCGGACGCGGTCGCCCCAGAACTTCTTCTGCCGGCAGGTTTTGAAATCGATGATGGGCAGGCGGGCTTGGTTCAGAGCTTCTGCCAGAGACACGTTCTCCTTCCCACCTGGAATGTGTTCAAGGGCAACATGTCAGCAACTTGAAGTGCATTTTGAATCTTTCTTTTAGATAAATACACACTTTGTTCATCATCTCGGGGAAATTAAAAGTAAACAGGAGCTCAAACAGAAAATAAGGTGCAAATCGTGCAAGTAGAAGACCAGTTAAGGTGCAAAAAACCCCCAAAAAACAGGAGTGTCACTGCAGTGTGCCAGCCAAGTATCTCGACTGTTGAGTTTTACAGACTTTCATCTTCTCCAGATGATTGATCCTGCAGACTTTAGTCATCTTCTGACTCTTTGTGTCGTGCCATCTGTTGGTGTTAGTGGACTGGAGTGTAGTGTCCCAACAATGACGGATGACAGACTCAGGGACCTGCCCTCTGAGTGTCGGTAGTTTAATCTGAAGCTCACAATGTTTTAGTTTAAACTCGTCCTTTGTCTGGATTTCTAAAAAACTCTCAAAGTCTTCAAGCCACATTTTGATTCTGTAGTTAAGATGTTAAAGTATTGATTTCACTAAAAATAAGACGTTCTGATGCCAGTAAGGTTCACATTATACCCTCTCCTTGCTTCCTTAATGCCCCCCTCCACTCACCCCGGGTGTCTCCCCAGCCTGTGACCCAGCAGTAGTGTCCCGGTTTGAGGCTGGTCTGCTTGCGCGGCAGGCAGGCGTAGCGGATGAAGTTGGAAGGGATGATGTCAGTGCCAGCCTTCACCAGGGCGATGTCGTAGTCCAGCTCGCTGTGAGCCGGGTAGCGGAAGTTCTCGTGCCGGTAGATCCTCCTCACCGGGAAGATCCTCTCCGCCGTCTCCGAGCGCTTCAGCTGGTGCTTCCCCAGGACGATCCTCCAGCTCCCAGCGTCCTCGGCTTTACCCCTGAGAGAGGAAACGTAAAGTCACATCTTGTACACCGCGTTCGATAAATTAGAAACAAATGAGATGCCTGATGGATGGTTTTCTTACTTCTGGAAGCAGTGAGCTGCAGTGAGGATCCAGTTCTTGTGGATGAGAGTTCCTCCACAGACGTGAATGTAATGTTTGCTTCCCCTCGGACGAACCTGCGAGAGACGAGCAGAAAGTGTCCTCAGTGATGAAATACTAAAGGCTGCGTTAGGATAAAGATAAAACAAGAGGATGAAAGGCGCAAATATGTCGACATAAGTACCAATAGAGTAATAAAGGCAGTAAAACAGTTGAAAATGGGAACGGCATCACATGAAATCAAGTCTGTAATGTTGGTTTTAAGCAGTGATTAAAAGAAGATTCTGCAGGTTGACGGCAAAATTAATCGTCACTATTTGTTTATAATATTAGAAATGTATTTATAAATAAACAGTTCCATCTATTACATAAAATATCTACTAAAGAAATACTTGAGAAATTACCTGAATGTGTCTTTTTATGTCAAAAATATGAAACTTCTTTAAGAAAAATGAAAATTTACAGTCAGATTTTAGAATAGATTTTACGTCAGACGTGTAAATGTGCCGCCTGTTTTTGTAGCTTTTGTAGATTCAAAAATATAGGAAAAAAATATGAAAAATTAAGAAAATTACAGATTGTTTTACGGTGTACATGGAGGTTCAAAAAATATGTAAAAAAATAAAAATAAAATAGTTAAGCAAGCAAGAAAAATTGTTAATTGTTCGAGCAAGAAGGCCAGTTTTCTGAGAATTGTCTGATGTATGATATTTTACATCAGTTGATTATCTTTGTTGGTTTTTGGTCTGTTTGTGGCCTTTTTTAAACCATGCAGTGATCATTTAACATTTCTGCACTAAAACATGAAGTTATGATAAAATACTGATCTCTTGCAGCCCTACAAGGTTCAAGAAGTCGCCCCAACAAATGTAAAAACACACTTCTGCTTCACATGATTTAGGATTTCTTGATTCAGACGTTCGCTGCCCTTTACATATTGAACCATAATCAGGTGATTTACCTGCAGAGAAACCTGCCAGGGCCAAGAGTGAGGTCTGGCCTCGTTACCAGAGACGATCCTCTCGGCCATGTTGGGCTTGAAGTGGGCCATCCCGCAGTCCTTCGGCCAGTCTGGGAGGAGAGCGACACCAGGTATGAACACAGAGAGCACACATTTACATGGAAGAAGCTGAAGCACTGCTGTGATAAATCCTCACCCAGGTGGAGGACTTTGTGCTGCGGCTGCCGTCCGGGGGTTAAAGTGTACGAAGCTGCAGGCAGCAACGCCTTCGTCAACAGCAGCAACAGAGACAGAAGCAGCAGCAGAGGAGGAGGTCCCGGTGCAGCCATCGTCTTCCACAGAATCACCGGCCGGCCAACATCCAACGCTATTTATACCGGGCACGCGTACAGGTACACATACAGTACACACAGCGACAACACAACAGAAACACCTCCAGGGACAATGAGCCGGGTCGCAACAAAGGCCGAGCGCTGGATAGTTCTCCTGTAGCTTTGAGTTTCCACTGCAGCTGAGAAAAAAGGGGATTTCGGAGGGAAGTCCCATCAGCACTTTCACATACATATAGTTTGCTCACTGTACACCAACACGCACACGAGACAAAAGGCAGCGCGCTACTGTACGCAAACAAACATCACATCATGCCACATGAGTCATGGCAGTGTCACGGTGACCCGACGGTGACCTCCAGCTCAGTTCATCCTCAGGGGACATGTTTGAGTTAGCTGTGGTTTAAAGTTCATTCAGCTCAGTCGGAAACTGGGAGGAAGCAGGACGCTGCATCATCCAGACAGATGTTTGCTTCTTACGGTTAAATCTTCATCAGCTTAGAGATGGATCAATAAATAACAGCAATGTGAAGGATGCTGGAAATAAAATTCCTAAAAAAATCAGTAAAAATCAGACGGTGCTTGAAAAAATCTGTAAAGAAAAAACTGTGGAATACTGCAGCACTTAAAAAACTAAAAATGACAGAAGAACATCTACATAGAATAAAATAATAATGTCAACAACATGTACAGATTATTTTTTTTGTTTGATAACATGTAAACTATTTTTTCTGATTTCTTTATCGAAGTTATTCTGACAAGATATTTTTCTTACTTTACCAAAATATGGAAAATTTGTAAGAATATTTATAAAATGTTATTGACTATTTATCAATCCTGAATACATGAGTATCATTTTCTTTCTAATAACAACAAATATCTGTGAAATCACAGTATTTTGTGCTGATTTAATATATTTGAAATCGTGTTATTTTATAGTCAAAAGTTGCAAAGAATTAATTACCTTTGGTTAAAAAAAAAAAAAAAAAGCAGATTTTTGTTGTGAACATTGCTGATTTTGTTTTTGTTTTTTTTTACAGTTAACGTGTAGAATTAATACCTTTTTTTCTGTGCTATTATCTGCAATTTAATCTGTGAAATAACAAGACATAACAATAAGACTTGTTACCGTAATATGAGCCACGTTAGCATCGTGTCTCCAGATAGGACAAGAAAAGTTTGTTGATTCATCACACTGGTCCAGACCTAAAATCTCGACGTTGGTTGGCTCAGAATGGACCTTTTACGGTCCCACAGACAACCAAGCACACTCACATTCACACCTACGGACGATTTAGAATCACCAATTAACCTCAGCATGTTTTTGGACTGTGGGAGGAAGCCGGAGAACCCGGAGAGAACCCACGCTGCACGGGGAGAACATGGAGACTCCACACAGAAAGATCCCGGGTGTCCTCACCGGGACGTGAACCGGCGACCTTCTAGCTGTGAGGCGATGGTGCTAACCACCGATCCACCGTGCAGCCCCAGACAACAACTTGTAGGATCAAATTCTAAAATAAAAATGAATATAAAATACTAAAATATTAAGACCACTATGAGCAATCAGAAGCCTTCATTTAGTTTAATAGGATCCCCATTAGCACCAGCATAAGCATTGGCTATTCTTCCTGGGGTCCACAAGAAGAAGAAGGCTTTGAAAACATCTGTCTTGAACTGTAATATATTGATCTTCCCATCATCAAAATTAAATTTGTCCACTACTTCATGCTTAAATATCTGATGTTGTAGCCAATCAGCTGCAAATGTGCCCCGTGTGCAGCACTGATTAGCAAATGTTAGTCTGTTAGCATGTAAAAATAAAGCAGTGAACAAGATTAGCATGCTCTTTGGAGGTATTAGCACGGTCATAATAGCATCTAGCTCGAGTGCAGCCTTACAGATCACTCAGTTCATACAAACAACAACAACAACAACACAACAGCCCCACACTGCGCTAAAGTCGAGCTGTGAACAGTCCAACTCAAAGTGCTGAACTGGCTCGCTGATTTTTCTAAATACAATCCAGTTTGCTTCCAGTGACGAGCGTTTGATTTGCCCTTTAAAGCCAGAAAATGAACGTAAATAAATGAAAAGTAAGCCTCCCGCTCCCTCCACACACACACATCTGTGAAAATATGACAACAATAAGCGCAGTGGAAGCCACTAGTGGGCCGATCTTTTTTCACTGTGGTGAATGAGAGAGAATGTGCCCGCTCATCTGAATGGCAGCGCCTGAATGGTCAAACCACAGCGCCGTGGTTCACCAAGTTTACACACAGCCCAACTTTGTGTGTGTTGTTTCTGCGGTGAGCGAGTGTGGAAGCAGAGGGAGGGACTTACTTCTTTTTTTTTGGAGTTTATTCTTGAACAGCAAAAATAATATTATGATCCTGTGTCAGCTGCTCGGGCGTAGTTTGTTTTTTCTTAGATAGTCGCCTCTAAAACTGAAAGCAATAAGAAAAAAATACCTGCTTCAGAGAAGAGAATCGATGCCACATGTTGGATCCTTTGTGGGGTTTTTTGTTTTCTTGTTCTACTGAGTAAAGCAACGTTCAATTTGTTGAGTTTTTTCTCCTTTGTGCACACTTTTGACCACAGTTTCTAAACATCCGGATGGTTTACTTACATAAAAACAACCGTATGTAGGATCCAGTCCATCACATGCATCTGTAGTTTTAGTGCAACAGTACTTGTAAGCTAAATAATCACCAAGTAAAAATATCAACTTTTTAAATTCTATATTATTATAGATAACACACAAGCAGCATTTTACTGTTGTAGTTGGTCAACGTGGAGCTAGTTTTAACTCCTCTGTTTACTGCTTAGCTTTTATTTCTTTAACAGCGTCATATTTATAAGATGATCATATTTTTGTGTGTAAAATTAGAAGCTACAGCTGGTGATTAAGCCTCACTCAGTGCTTATCTTGGTCACAATTCTTTACCAAAAGCATGAAAACAGCAACGGGCTGCAAGGTGGATCGGTGGTTAGCATCATTGCCTCGCAGCTAGAAGGCTGCCGGTTCACATCCCGGTGAGGACACCCAGGATCTTTCTGCGTGGAGTTTGCATGTTCTCCCCGTGCAGCGTGGGTTCTCTCCGGATTCTCCAGCTTCCTCCCACACAGTCCAGAAACATGTTGAGGTTAATTGGTGATTCTAAATCGTCCGTAGGTGTGAATGTGAGTGTGCTTGGTTGTCTGTCTCTAAGTGTAGTCCTGTGATAGACTGGTGACCTGTCCAGGGTGTCCCCTGCCTTCAGCCAGAGTCAGCTGGGATAGACTCCAGCCCCCCATGACCCTGGTGAGGATTAAGGTGTATAGATGATGGATGGATGGGATAAAAGCAGTGACCTTCGGGGCTGAATGCAGAAGCTCCAAAAACTGCAGTTCCTTAAATGTCCACTTGAGGCTCCTCCAAAAGTGAGTCAGTCCCCAAACCTGCTCCTAAAACCAGCTTTGGTCTCTAGAGCTAGTTTCACCGTCAGTAAAAACTGTACAGACAGTGAACTTTTTAACAGTTTAAATTGCATCAAGGAATGAATTACGTATAACTTTAGGATGCATCTGCTCTGAGTGACAGGTGAGCGCTGGAACAGGACAGTCGATTGCTCAGAGACATTTGTCGGATCCGGATCAGCTTCACCCCTTTGCTCATTTTCGGATTAGCCAAGAGTTAAGAGGAGTCGAGTGATGCCAAGAGGGCAGCAGCCGGAGTCTGAGCTCGTTTAGGAAACTTTGGGTGACGTCACAGACAGGTTGTCCTGCTTCATCCTGGATCCACATTAAAAATGCTTAAGTTATGTGAATTAAAAAGAAATAAACACAAAAAAGAACGTCGGCTATTTGGACAGAACGATTTTGGGAAAATTTCTACTTGCAAATTTTCTGTCAGGTGTTGGAATTAGAAGTTGGTTTGCAATCTGATTTTTTGAAGTTTATTGTTTACTGCAAGATGGATTTAAAATGTGTGACGGAGAGTTTACACATGAGGCGTCACACAGGGAGGCTGCATGGATTTACAAAACCAGTAACAACAGTTTAGACCCAGAATGAGTCACATCATCACATATTTGCTGAATTGCAGCTTTGATAATTGTTTAAAGTTGTGATTTCAATTTGAAATCCATGATTATTATTATTGTATTAGTCTAGAATCTCATGTCAGCCACGCTCTGATATAAATGAGCCTAAAACAGGAAGTGCACTTGTCTCTAAACTTTATTTATTTTCCACCACGTCATCAGTTCTTTCCTTTGTGTCTTTAAAATTCTCCATTTTTAAAAATAAAAAACAAAAACCTTTCAACAGCAGAAAATTAGTTTTTATTGAGCATTTATATGAACAAATGTATTTTACCTCCTTCCTGGTTGTTGTTTCTCTAAAATACTGGAGCTGTCATGAGAAGCTCATCAGCAGCTCATCTAGCCGACACTAAACAGTGGATCAGTGGGAACAAATGTTCTAACATGCATCCTTTAAATTGTACCAAGTGACAGAAAATCAGCTGACTGAAGATCTACATGATATCTGAGCAGAGTTTAAACTCCCAGCTTCATTCCAAGTTTATTATTAGTGTGCAAACTTGACCATCCCGGGGCAATGAATAGAGTCAGATTAGATTAGTCCTCATTATCAGTCGTCTACCTTCCTGGAGCCTCCACACCATCCAGGCCTCCTCAGGGACCGGATCACACTCTTCTTGCGGCTGTTTCCGCTCGACGGCGGGTGGCCTTCCTCTCCGTAAACCTCCTCGTCCTCTTCTTCTTTGTCTCCTTCTGCTCTGCTTCTTCTACGAGGAGTTTCTTCTGTTTCCTCCTTGTTGCCGCCTCCTCCCTTCTCCGCCTCCACATCTACCTCCGGTGTTTCTTCACTCTCCGCCTCCGCCACGCAAGTCGATGTCGTAATTATGGCGGGTGGTGTAATTTCCGGGACCATGGCCCTCACCACGTTTGATATGACCGGAGGCTTCGGTGCTCTCTTCTTCTTCGAGGAGCGTCTCTGTGGTCGGGGGCTGTTCTGGAGTTCCAGATGTTTCTGAATGGCTGTGGTCAGCACCTCGGGGTCCACGGACGCCCCGTGAACGTCCCACGTCATCCCGTCCTCGTCCCACTGCACCTGCTTCATGCTGCTCCTC